TATCGCAGGGGGGCATGTATTTTTCTAAAAAAAAAAAAATTCAAAACGACATTTCAAATTGGAACAAAAACTCCGACGACGAAAAAATTTATCGTTGAACCGAGTTTTTCACAAGTTGGACAATAACAAGTGAAAATACACACGGGCGCACGTGCAAGAGAACAAAAGTATATATCTATCTATATATCTCTCTGTATGAAAACCTTTTTGAAAACGGGTGTGTATATATATATATATATATATATATATATATATATATATATTAAATAAATTGGTTTCAATTGGCTATAAGTGACCATGGTAAGACATTTCGAAGTTGTCGTTTATATCGCTAGCTATATAGTTGGTGTTTGCTCCGAAGAATTAAAACGTTGACCTTTTATTATTATTATTATTATTATTATTATTATTATCATTATTATTATGATTGTTTAACAATTAATGAATGAGGCTGAGTATCTTATGAAGAATTATGGAGATCGAGGAGGGTGTTATACGGCCTCGACGGATAACACCCTCAGAGATCTCCATAATTCTTCATATGATACGAAAGCCGAATTCAATAATTGTTTTATTATTCATTCAAAATAATTCCTAGTTTAAAAACATAGCTAAAACATGCTTACCTCCATCGATCCATCCATGTTAAGTTCATCTTCGATAGTGCACGTTTAGGGTTTGTTCAGCTCCGCAAATATTCTCCAAACAGGAGATGTCGCCCTTCGAGTTGTCTTCTTGCTGTTCTTGCCATGTTTTTAGTTATTTTTTCGCCTATTTCTTACTCTTGAAACGAGTAAAATGTCCGCCATTTTTCAAGTTCACAACCAAAACAAAACCTTGTCCCCAGGTCTTCTCGGTTAACAGTGCATTAACCTGCAAGAAAGCTGCACTTTTGACGTCATCGGTTCATTAATCGCAAAATTCTTCCAAATTTTGTCATCAGTAACTGGTTATGGTGAGTTAAACGTGTCCTTTTAACCAATCAGAATCGGGGAAGTGTTTTGAATGAATAATAATATTTATTTATTTCCCTTTTCTGGCTGCGGGGGAGTGATAAATTATTCTGACTGAAAAATAAAACCATTATTGGTTTCAGCTTTTGTATGATATAAAGAATCAGAATCAGTTATGCCGAAAGATCTTGGAGGGTGTTTAAATCCACCTCGGCCGACACTCCTCGATCCTGTCGATCTCCACAATTTTTCAGATCTTACTCAGCGCGGTTTTTCTCTTACAACAGTAATTATAAGCACTTTTCCTATGCTTTTAGATTGCAGCGAATGAGACATCCGTTTTGTTGTCAAAGTTTCATGGTATTTCAGATCACAAGATTAACGCAAATGTGTTGCCAGGGCTAGAGCAGCTTGAAAACTTCATAGAAAAGTACGCGAGTACTCATCTAGACACCAAATCCATAGTAAATTCTACGAGAATTATCAATGGAAAGTACTTTGGTAAGCTTTGACTTAAAGTAGAAGTTGCTATACCACGCATTAATTATTCAGTTATCAAAATAGCAGTAGATATACTCCAATTACTATTCAACGTATGCATTAGCAGAGGCAGATGTAGAACACCATGACAGATATTAAGGCCAACATATATTACATTCTTTCAATCCGCTATAGTTATTCCTTTTACTGCTCTCCTTGAAGTTCAGTTTTTCATTGTCGGTTATAATTATAGGAATGGTATTTCTTTTTATTATCAGTCTTGATTTTCGACTTATTTGCTTATTTTGATCTTGCTGCATTGACAAATAAATAAAATGCATTAATAAGGGAATTTGTTTCACCCTCATAGTGATAATGGTAGAAAAGATTGGAGCTGGTCACAAAAGCGATGTAACATATCCTTTTGAAGACAATATGAAAGTGAAGATAATCATACCAGCTGAACTCTTTAAAACACGAGGTAGGGGGAAAGAGTTGGACATTAAATTTCCTTATTATAATATTTTGCTCCATGTAAGGGTTTCCGGATTCGGAATCCGGAAAACATTGCCTTGTCGAAACAAAAATTCTGGGCTTTGGAATACGGAATAGAACTAAAAGGAAAACGGAATCCCACTAACCAAGTTCCACTGACAAGAGCAGGAATCCATTACCTGGAATCCGGAATCTACGGCATGGGAATCCAGAATCTAAGACTGACTCCCTTACATGGGGCGATATATACGTACGATATGTATACCGTCCCTATCCAGCGTATTAAAGTTTGCTCAACCCTCCCCCCTCCCCCAATATCCACATGTAAATTCCCTAGAGTGCAATTTCCTTATATTTTCCTAGACAGTTAGTTGGGAAAATTTCATAAAAGGTATAAGCGTTTTGATCCATTCCCTTTGTGTAGCGATCAGTTTATTAATCCCCATGACCATTTCTCTTTATGATGTATGGATATACTAAGGGTTGTGACTATATGGATACCTTAAAATCAGGTCGGACACCTTATGTTTATTGCACAACTGTATACTCGTCGAAGAGAACAATTTATGCCAATTTATTGGGCACATTTTTGAGAAAAGTGGGGAAATTATAGTAACAGACAGTTGTGCAAGGAAAAGAGGGTTTAGCACCGAATACAGGGTTTAGCACCGAAGTACCGTGATTAGGGTTAAGTACTCTTTTAAAAACGGTTAGCTTTCAGTAGATAAATAACAATGTAATAATCACTGCCATGTAAAGTATGTTGAAATAAACCAGTGTCGCCTGTTATCATTAGTCCCTGATGGTTTATGACTCCTATCATGTATTTTGAATGAAGAAGACAACCTAATTTTGGGGCATCCAGTCACAACCATATCCTAAGGCGAAATTTTGAATTGGTCACTCTTGGGACTTAAACGTTTGACACCTACGATCATGGACAAATGTCTTGGGACACTTCTGCATTTCTGGGGCGTTTTCCAATTCACACAGGCCCACCCCTCCCCCTTACCCCATAACCAGTGTTGGACGCGTGTATCCAGAATTTTGCATAAGGTGGGGGGAGAACTGCAAGAAAATTTCAAAAAGGATGCACTGTTTTATGAGAGAACCCAGAATGACAGGAAAATCTGAATATTGCATTACTGTCCTAGGGACTTTTATCCATAATTGTAGCTGTTTTAGGAGGCCCAGTACCTCCCTCTCTTCATTAGTTCTTATTTCCAGTCATGAAGTTAATGGTTTTTAAACTTTCATTTGATATATTATTGAATTATTTCCTGTAATGATAAGCAAATCTCTTCAACAGAAACAGTACTTGTTGGAATAACATACAAAGATATTCCTGGCTTACTACCGGGTGAAAGTCACTCCTTTCTTGATGGGTATGTACATACATAGCATCACACTTTAAAGGTCAATGTTTTTAAATCGATCCTCATTTACACTCCGGCGAAGCATGTTGTTGATCTGTTCATTCCGCTTTCTCCCACAACCAATATTAAGTTGTAAATATCACCATCATCATCATCATTATCATTGTTACTATGATTATTATTGATAAAGTGCTCAAAAACTATGTATGTTTGCTAGACGAGATCGAACAAGGGTTATTTCGTGTACAAAATGTAACTTCGCTAGTTGAATATGACCTGCAGTGTTCCTTTTTGGCTGATAGTTTGGTTTTTGATGTTTTAGAGAGAGATTGGAGAACGCAAAGCTCTGGTCGTCTGTAATGGCGTGCTCCGTTTTCCCCAAACCACCTGACGTGTTGCCAGGAAATGTTACTATTCTTTTCACTGATGAGGTAAGTTCATTTCTTTTCCTGGTTATCCTATAAACACGAGACCCAAGCATCTCTGACTACCCATCCAAAACAATTTCAGCAGTCCAATTAATATTTTCTGGTACAATATCTTATCTCTTCCATTTTTTACTCACGGGACTGGGTCCCAATTTACTCAAACAAAAAGGAGAGTAAGTATAGCCCGAAACCTATATCTCTGCTTTCAACTTCAGAGCCTGTGTTGAAAAATATACCCACGGAAGTTTCACAATTTACTCTATTTCTCTCCGTTTCTTGCATGCCTATTATTGAACGGGATATCCTCGCCCAAGCCATGCGAGGTTTTCTGTCGTAATTGCATTGACAACTGACATTTTATACACAATTAAGTACTCTTCTAAATTTAAATTGTAAATTGGAATTTGTTTACCCACGGAGCACTAAGCAGTTCATAAGAACCCGATGAAACGTGTCCGTGCGTTCCAGATCGAATTTGAATTTTAAAGTGTTGGTTTTTAAGGGGGGCGAGGGGGGAAAACGGGCGTAACCGGAGAAATACCCCGCGGGGCAAAGGAGGAGCCCAACAAAAAAAGAACCCCCAATAGGCCGTCAACCCAGGAATTTTAACCCGGCCCGTGTTGAGGGGAGGAGATGGCTCCCACAACCGCCCCATTTTTTCTCCCGTTTCTCATCACTATCCATAAGGTATTGACTTCAAAATACTATTTTAATGAAATAATCAGTAATCCTTCTAATGAAAAGTAGTAATAAAAATTTTTTTCCACGGGCACGCATATCCAAACAAAAAACCCCCGGGGGAGACATCGCGGGCCGCCCCCAATGTTTTTTGAATTTTAATTTTTTGTTTTTGGGGGGGGGGGGGGGGAAACCGGAGTACCCGGAGAAATACCTCGCGGAGCAAAGGAGAGAACCAACAACAAACGCAACCCACATATGGCGTCGACGCCAGTATTTGAACCCGGGCCGCATTGGTGGGAGGCGAGTGCTCTCACCACTGCGCCATACTTGCTGCCCTTGCTCATTACTATCCAGATGATGGAAGAATTACTGTTTCCAGTTTTGTTTTTCGGTTATACCTCGGTAGTGCAGTGGTAAGAGCAGTTGCCCTCCACCACTTTGGCTTGGTTTGTCGAAACCCGGAGGTTACGTCATGGTGAATTGAGTTTGGATTTCAAAAAACAATTTAATCAGAATTATGTGAAGATTTACAAATTTATTTATTTATTTATTTGAAATCCATTTTTATATTGCAGAATACAAAAGCCGAGGATACGCCCAATTGTGTCTTCTGGGATTTTGATATAAAGTTTGTATTTTTGCGTGTTTAAGTTGTGAATCTTTCAAAAAAAATCTTTCTAAAACTGTTATTTTTCATCAACTGTTAGTTAATCATTTTATGCTGGAACTGTAATGTCTTTGCTAGTAAGTTATTCACATTACCCAATATGTTACCCTAAAGGGTGTAAAACGTTATGTTTGTATGTCTGTCATCAAAAACTAACCATGCTCCAGAAAAAAAAGTCACAGTTGTCTTTTGCAAACGTTTACTAAGGTACTAAGTATGTTTACTACTTAAGTAGGATTGTCTTTGGTTGAGTATAGATAACCTTATAAAGTTAGGTTCAGATAAGCTTTGGACAATTGCATGTTACTCCTATGGATCATACACTGTGAATTGTTGATACCCCTAACTATATAGCCTCCCAAGCAGGCGTTTTTGGGGAGGGATGAAATTGAGCTCCCCTAAAAGCGCCTGCGTGGGAGGCTACTAACTATACTGCTATATATATTAATCAGTAGGTTAATTAACCGTTAGAAAATGTTTCCTAATCTAAAAAACACTTTGTCAATTTCCTTTAAGGAGTACGTTTAATGGCTCATGGTCAAGTAGAGGATGCTCTTTAGTAAACAGAAGTGAATCTCAGGTTATTTGTACCTGTAATCATCTCACACACTTTGCTGTTCTTATGCAAATTGGAGATGATACTAACTTAAAGGTAACGTATTCATTACTACGTATGAGGCGGAAGTTTTGACATTTTGTTTATTCCAAACTTTCCTAGTGATGGTTAATAATTTAGAGTCTATTGACCACTCAAAGAAGTGCAGAAAACAAAAACAAAAAATAGTAATTAAAAGCTTTCAGCGCAATGATTTCTGAACAATTTGAGTAGACATTATTGTCAACCAGACCACTTGTTTCCTTTGAAAACTGTTTGCGACTCATTCACGTTACTGCAATATGTTTTCCACACAAAATGTTAGTCAAGTATCGTTTTCAAGTACTCTTGGGATATTTGTCCCCCTGAGAAATTGAAATTAAAACAAAGAATAATATATGCAAAATTTAGTGGGAGAACGATGGGATTATAAGGAAAGTCAAACTCGCAGGTTGTCCAACCAAAATTAACGCTTGTCCAGACAATCACTCGGGAGTCGTTGCGTCCAAATCATTCGAACCCCTTCTGTTTAAAGGTTATAGTAGTGGTGGTGGTTTCTTTGTTTTTGTCCTCAAGGACACATGATCATGCTGAAATAAACATATCAAAGCTGGGACGAAGCAGAAAAACTCCAAATTTCAGTTGACAAGTAAAGCGCTCGATTCAGTTTCAGCATATATATATGGATTTGCTTTGACAATAAGAGGTTGGATAACTAAATTACTTAATCGTTTGTTTAACTGATACCTCAACGTTATTTTTACAGACCTCTGCTAAGCACCAAACAGCATTGGAGGTCATTACTTACGTTGGCTGCGGTCTGTCGCTTTTCGGAGAGGTTCTTACAGTTATTGCATATTTGACTTTACTGTAAGTAGGGCTCTTTTACACGCGGTCGTCTCTGACTCCCTTTTCCTACAATCTAACAGCTGAAAACCAGCCCTTTGATTAACTGGTTCAATAAAGTTTTAACGTAAACACTGCTTTAAACTAAATCAAGAAGACAGTAGCACTGGGCAAGATAATGGACCTATGCCTCCTCTGTGTCGTGCTTTTCCACTCCCCCCCCCCCCCCCCCCCCCCCCCCCCCCCCCCCC